CGCTAGTAGGTTGGAGGCCATCGCTAGTAGGTTGGAGGCCATCGCTACTTGGTTGGACACCATCGCTAGTAAGTTGGAGGCCATTGGTTCTAGGTTGGAGGCCATCGCCACTTGGTTGGAGGCTACTGCAATTAGGTTGCTGGGCCGCACCTTTCTCCACTCCCAAGGGCTTTCTTCGCACAGCTGGACCCTGTGGAAGCAAATCTACTCTGCTGGCCATCTTCCACGGCCGCAACATCTAAGGATTAAAAGGGTTCTTTGCACGACAGGGTCGTCGACGCAAACTCTCTCTCTAAATGGCAGCTACACAGCATCGCCAATCCAGCTGGATGGGTCGGATTGGTCTCCCTGGCCGAGCAGCCCCAGTTGGCATCTTGGACTCCTGGGGCCAAAAACGAAGACGCTTCAACACAGCCTCCTGGTTTTCACACAAAAGCAGGTTTAAAAGTCCTTGCAGCATCTCTTGCACTGCTTTGTTGGTAGGTTGAAGTTGGTTGGAAAATTGAAAAAGTACTGGGGAGAATTGAGCAAGTAGAAGGGGATGGCTCCCGAAAGCCAAGTGCAAAAGCTGTCCTTCGACCAAAATCATCGCGACCTCCACAAAACATGCTTCATCCGTTCCCAACCTCCCCCCGGTCAACCTCCCCCACAGGAACTCGCAACCCAGTCCTAAAAGTCTTTGTCCAAAGCGAATTCCGACAGGGCTTCGCCCTGGCCGTAGCCCGCCATCACGCCCGCCTTCTGGTACTCACCGACCCCTGGAAGATGGCAGCTGGCTGATGAAAAAGTGGTCAGGATGAATGCTTACGATGTTCGTTCCATGACTGTTCACTTCAGTGGAGCACCTCCCTTAAAAGGATCTTTAAAAAAAGAACCTCGGGATGACTCCCAAACACATCCTTCAGGGCATTCACATAACTGTGAAATCTGGTGCAGTTTGGGGACCTGTTGACCTCTGACCTGATGGTCAAGAGCAAAACTTGCACGTCCCCTCTCAGAGAATTTGCTTTAGAAGGCACGCTTCTCGAAGAAGTTGGTCTTGCCCTGGAGGGAGATCATCTCCATCCAATCAAAGGGGTTGCTGCTGTTGAAGATCTTGCTGTGTCCAAGGGCTGACAACAGCCGGTCAGCCACAAACTCGATATACTGGGTCATGAGATCCTACAAATGACGTTACTCAGTTGCAATTTTGGGGAAAGACCTTGATGGAAGCACTAAGTCGCTGTGACATATGAAGACCCAAGATGTTGATTGGATCATCGTAAAGAGCTACCACAGCTGTCAAGCTGCAAAGTTGTGAACCAAAAAACCTGGTACTCACCGACCAAAGCACCATCACTCACTCCAAGAGCTGTCCTTGTTCATACCAATCAGGTCACAAGGGAGAGCTCCACAAATGAAGTCCCTCTCCACTTCAACAGCTCCTTTGATGATCTCGTGCACAATGTCCTCCAATTCACAACACATCTGAGAACATCTGAGACAGGCTGGTGACCAGCCGAGGTAAAGCACTTCACTTCGAATCAAGTGTCTGAAAAGCCGGACTGTGACTAACCTGCTTGGTTCGAACAAGTTCCCACAGTTCACACAGAATGGGAGCAGGAAGTGGGGCGACAATCTGAATCTGGCTGAAGACTTCACTCTGCCGAAGGCCGTCTTCAAGCGAACTCGCTCGGGGTGACTTAAGAATCCATGTTCTCAGCAAGCCCATTACTAACATGCTTTAAAACATGGGAGCCTGGCTTCGAGGAGTAGGAAGCAAAAATGTCAAAGTACCAAAAGTACCCACGTCTGCTCACCGCGGGACATCTCTGCCTTCCTTCAAACCAGGCAGACTTTATATTAGCCTCTGCCACCATCCATGTCCCATTGTAGAAGAGCTAATCACATTATTGTCGACAAAAGACCTCACCCCACCGCGACTACAAAAGTTCACTCCTCTGGCAGCTTGTTCTGCAGCATGCTGTACAACAAGCAGGCGAAGTCCGCGTGGAGACCTTCGTCACGGCTGATGAGCTCGTTGGAAAAGGTCAGCCCCGGCATCAAGCCCCGCTTCTTCCTTGCGAGATTGATGCCAACACAGATACAAAGAATGTCAACCAGCACAAGAGATTTTAGGTGCAAAGATGGTGCAAGAGTCCTAGGAATGAGATGTTGCGAAAACAATCCTCACACCGTTGCACAATGTTTGGACTACGGCGACGGGCCAAACTGGTCGAAGAGACGCAAAGGTGCAAAACTTCTCGTTTGAGCACGGCAAAGGCTGTCACCGCCGGGGAACAGAGTGGCCCTTGGACCTCCCTTTGGCTACTGGGATCCAAGATTAAGTTGCAAGGACACAAATTCTGTAAAATACAGGCACTGCAGCTGCCGTTGGAGTTGACAAATCTTCAGGGAACGCCAAAACGGAGGCATGTCTTGTTGCTTTCCTCTTCCCCGCAACTCCGGATTTTCTCTACCCACCGATCATCCGCGCAGCAAACGACCCAACCGTCTACGTCTGAGGCGCAGCCAGAAGAGCGCGCAAAAGGAGCCGCTAAAGAGGATACCCTCGACGGCAGCAAAGGCCACGAGACGCTCCGCGAAGCCTCGGGACATGAGGTTACAAGCAAAAATAAAAATAACCCAATACAGTAACCTATATAATAGCAATGGCCTGCCGCTTCGAAGGGTTTGGAGTGGACGGACCTGTTTTGTCGTGGAACGTTGCTGGCTTCGAAGATTCGATGTTGCACGACCTTCCAGGTTCGTTTCAGTGTCACTTGAAAAAAGCTGGGCTTGAGGACTAATATATGAGGACCCATTAGGACCCGATATGGACCCATATGAGGACCCATGAGGCAGGCCTCCATCCCAATTGCGATGGCCTCCAACCTAACGGCTACTGTGTGGCTACGCATGAACTCGGCAGATGAGGCGTCCAAATCGTCGAAGGATGGGAGCTGCTTGTCCAAGTGCAAGACAACTTCAATTCTGCAGCCCCGCAGCCCCTCCGGGCCCCTCCTCTACAAATAGTAACAAGTGCCTCGCTAGTAGTAACAATAAGAAAGGACAAACGAGTGCCATGTCCATGTTATTTGTAGAGTTGGGAGTGCAACATCACAAGCCAGCCAGCCAGCCAGCCAGCCAGCCATGGTCGGTCTTCTGCTCTGAGAAAGTGTGATGGTGGCGAAATACCATATATGATATATGATTGTAGGTATAATAATCTATATAATTGCATATTGCAGCCAAAAGGCGTCTAGGTATCTGCAGGAAATTGTTGTTCCCACTCTGACTGATGTATATCATTTCCATTGCACCTCGCCCCATTTGACCAAGAGACTAGCTTCACGGTTCATCCATTGCACCGCCCAGCGGGCTTTGTCTCGCACTGCAGGCATCGTATGGATCGCGTCAAAAAGTGTGTCCTTTTCCTGCGGATGGTCGGGAATCCACACAAGAGTGGCGGACAACGACAAAACATATTGATCAAGTGCGCGATGCTCTTCAGCCTGTTCTCTCATAGTGACTTTGAGCCAGAATTGTCCAACATTTTTGCCTACCATTTCTCTTTCTCTTGCTGAGCGTGCGGGAGTTCTGGGTCTTTCACGTTCTGAAACTCTGAAACTACTGCCGGCGGAAAAACCCTGCAAATCCCAAATGCAAGTAGACAACAAACAGCTTGGCAACCCGGGCAGCAATGATTCTGTGGAGCTTTGCCCGTGGCAACATCATAGCCGAAAAGACTCAGACTCTACCTTCTGCTCCGGGAGGGGCTCTGCAGTTGTATGGTAGGAACAAGAAGCTACTCCTGGCATCGCTACCAGGAGCAAGGACGCCACTTGGGGCTCCTGGCCGTACTACTAGGAACAAGAAGCTACTAGGGGCTCCTGGGAACATGCAGATTGCTCTTTTTGTGCGTTCGAAGCTAAACTCAGTCTGGTGATGCCGGCGATGGCACTTGGAAACATGACAAACTCCGTCACTTAGCTTCCACCAGTGTCTCCTTTCTTTCATTTCACTAGGGGTCAACGACCAAACCAGCTTTGTTGTTGGTCACAGAAAGCAAGAAAAGGGAGGTCTAAGTGTAGGCATAGCTTCAGCAGGATCTTTGATGTACTGCTCAATGAGCAGGGAATAGGTCTCGGAATGGATGTTCTCCATCGCGATTTGGAAGCCATAAAAGGCCTCAGAGTCTCGATTCACGGGCGCAAGAAACATCAAACTACCACACAAGGCTTTGCACAATGTCTAGCCGAGGAGAAGCAAATGGAAAGGTGGCAAATGATTGTTGGGCAACAGCTGCTCCTGAATAGACTAGACAATCGACTCGATCCAAGAAGCTCACTCTCTGTTTCCTTCAGCAAGTTCTTTCAAATTGAATTACAAGTTGCTGTGAGTTGCAAGACATTCCGGCGCATATTCGAACAGCTGAAAAGTCCAAACTTATAGACAAGGAACACCTCCCCTGAAAGTTCGGACTCCACAGGCGAGTCAGCCAGCTCCAAAAAATCCACCACAACCATCCACAGCAACCATGAACCATCCGCATTTCGAGACCTGTCATAAATGGTCACCCCTAGCACTGGACCTACAGGACACTGGGTTCGTCCCCAGCTGTCGAATCCTGTCCAAGGTGCCCGCGCTTCGGGGATCTGCACCTCGCTGGAGAACTGCGCAGCCAAGTTCTCCAAGACGATCCCGTCCGAGGCAGCGAAGAAGGCCAAGACCTGGGAAGCTAGTAACAAGTGCATCGCTAGTAGTAACAAGTGCCTTACTAGTAGTAACAAGAAGCTACTAGTAACAAAGGGATATACTACTAGTAGCAAGGACACTACTACCATTTTCTCCTGGCCTTTTACTACTAGGACCAAGAAGCTACTAGTAAGGCCAAGACCTCGTGGCACCGGTACATCGGGTCGTCCGGTCGTCGATGAGCATTCCGGCCGCGTTCGGCGTGCACGTCGTTCAGGGCGGTTCGTTCAGAGCGGTTCGAGCTCGCGGCCAGCGCTTTGGGCACAGAGGGATCGGTGAAGAAGGCAAGGCGCAGATTGGGACAGGTGTTGTCCACATTTCAAAGTGACTTGGCATTGAGTTGGAGGGAGGGATCAAACATGTGTCAGAGCTGCATGTTTCTGGTGGAATGATCGGACGTGAGATTTTGGGCATTCACTGCTTTGAGGTGCAAGTCTCATGTGACAACAGCATGAAAAGTCCCTCCTTTGCAAATAAAGGAGCTCCTGTCGCCCAAATGGAGGAATTATTTGGCGCGTGACAATTGAACTTCTCATGGGTGGTGCAGCGGTACAGGCTGTATATGGATGTTCATGTTAACATTGGATCATGGTTTTGGGGTGCCAAGCACGACGATTGCTCGGCTTGGACCCAGAGGTTGCTCGAAAACGTCCAGGAACCGTTCGCACTTCGAACCTACGGTCTTTCTTCGCCACGTTGGTTCGCACTATGGTGCTCTTGAAAGAAGACTCCTTAGAAATTCTGCTTACACATAAGAGTTTTGAGAACGAGATGTTCGCAAATTCTACGAAGACCTTTCCAGTTCCTCGCATTTGAGGCCAGCGCATGCAGTGTCTCTAAATGATTCTAAATATTCTAAATGCATCTAAATGCAACTTGGGGACATGCTTCACGAAGTGCTTCTCACCTCCGTCGTCGCTTTGCTGTTCGCGCAGGAAATGCAATCAGCGGGATATGATATATGAAATCTCTCGAAAGCCAGCAAAGCGCTCACTTGGCACCCAAATGACTTCAAAACTTCTTGTGGATAGTCACAATCACATCCTCTGTGGAGCAGCTTCCCGCTCCAAACTGTTGTACTGTTACCAGATCCAATCAGCATTACCTGAAATCCATGAAAGCAGTCTTGGAGGGAGACTGCTCGGAGCTAGACTTAGACTTCAAAATCCTTGCATGTAAACCTGCTGTCGGAAGAACAAGCAAAATGTTTAATGGCTTGGTCTAACCAAGGGTCATCAAACACGCGAATCTTGCTAGATGTGTCCTTCTCCGTCCCAAGTCGCTTACCCCTGTCGCCAAGGCACCCTCTGTCAACTTCTCCCAATCTTTGTTGTCCTGTGCGAGGTCGATCTCTTCGGCCGTCCAGAAAGAGGCCTGGCCGCCAGGGCCGCCAGGGCCGCCAGGGCCAGGCGAAGCCACGAAAACTCCAGTGATGGCGCTTCCGAAACGAAGGACCAAAATGCACGTGTGCTGAATCGCTTTACGGGTATAGTGCGTAAAGGTCATTTGGAGATCCTTCAAGGTCCTTTCTTTGCTTCCTCTGGAAACTAGAACCATTCATGTCAGTGGCAGGCATGCTTTCACTGAGGTCCCCGGGTCTGCCTCGGGCCAGGGGAGGATTGTTCTCTTCAGGAGCCACTGCCCTATGAGAGGGGAAGGCCTCCCACCACCTTCTGCATCTCTTCTGAACATACCTCCAAAAATTTGTTTGGCAGAGGACAAATTGCCACAACATGCCAAGACCATCTACGCTCTGTGATCTTGAGGTCATTGTTTTCTAGCCAGGACCAGGTGATCCGCTGTGGCATTGGCGGCATTCACTGGGTTCTTGACTGCAATAGATACAGTATCCATAAAGCAAATTCATTGCTTGATTGATGATCTTTCCAAGTCGTCTGTGATGCAATGTTGTGGCGACCGACCGAAAGTTATATTAATGTTCTTACTAAGACCCTGGATTGCCTTCAAAGCAGCAGCTATTCTCAAAATCTGCCCAGGTGCTTATTGAAACAAAAAGCTCAATGAGGTTCATGGGGTGTCCATCTGTCTTGTTGCTCTCTCTCTCTCTCTCGCGCGCGCGCGCACACTCTCTGACATGGTGGAGTCCGAGGGAGCTCGAGATATCAATGCGCCCACAAACCATGCGCCACGCCTCATGCTTCTTGTAAAACTCCCAGATGGCGGGGAACTGGATCGGGAACATCACCCATCGCCTTGGATTCTCCTTGAGCAAAGGCTCCTTCTTCTCAAGCTCCTGAAGAACATGACCCGGTGATCACAACTCCCAACCCATGAAGTTCACATGAAATCTTGATTTTTGCATAAGCTACAGGTCAAAAGATGTCAAAAGCCAAAAGCCTAATATCAAGACCCATTCCTTGATTGGGTAAGCTAGGGGGGTGGAACAGCGGCACAACGAGGCCTTCCACTCGTCGGAGACTCGGCTCTTCTTGGGTGCAATGGTCACATCAAGGTCGTGAGACGTGGCCATGGCGGGAAATTGCAGTGATCCAAAAAACTACGTGGCTTGGGAGCCGAAAATCTCGTGAGTTGTTGTGGTCCTGTGCTGGAAGGCTGGAATGAATGGAACAATGAAGAGCATGAATGCAAGAACTACAGTAAATTGAATTATATAAGACTTGTATTCACTCCAAATCAATGGAACAAGGACTTCACTCAGAAGTGGGATGAACTTGTCGCATGCTTCCTGCAAAACCTGTGTTTTTTGAGGAAAGCAAGGTGCTGTCAAGCAGCGAATGAACGGTCAACCAACCAATCCAGATCCAAAGATTCCCCCAGGGGTTGTCCGCAGACCAAAACTGTTGTCATGTCTGTTCATTTCTCACCCAAGCCATGTGATTCATGTGATCATCAGTGTGTTGTCTCTGGCCTCACATCTGCAAGGTCTCTGTTGGTCTTGGCGCATATACCCTCAGCAAGCGCCCCCAACATGCAGAAGCAAAACTTGAAGCCGGGAAAGGTTGAATATTCATTTTGAATCGGTATCTTGAAACTATCGGCTTTATCTGTGTTTCTTCTTCCATGAAAATCCGGTTACTGTACTGTAATCAATATACATGTGGATCAGTGCAACAAAACAAGCTGTGCTCGCCTGCAGCAAGCTTTGCATAACAACTCATACAGCAAAAAGAATGCTGAGTGGCTTCTCACAAATCTGAAAAGGGTAGTTTCAAAAACTGCGCTGTTGCTGTTGTGAAGAAAAGGAGGATGTCTTCGTCCCATCTCTTCCAATCGCTGTACCTTGTGGTCGTCGCTATTGAGCAGCTCCATGGCGCCCTGGGGAAGCCACGGCCAGTGGCCAGGTCAAGTCGATGAAAACACGGGATATGGTCGGACATGGTGTCTGATGGTGTCTGATGGCAAGAAAATCGGTTGGGCCTTTGGTGTGATCCCACATAATGCTACATCTATATACGGTGAGGTCACCATGTTTAGCGAACAACATATTATTGAGGAGGCATGATGGACTTGACAGGTGGTCCAAACCTTTCCTTTTCTAGACCCATATCAAGTCACCAGTCATGAATGTCAGCGCCCATATTTGAGGAATTTGATTATCCTTTCCGGTGGTATTATATACTCCTTTGTTTTTGGGAGGCTTCTCGGCACACACTCCAAATAGGACAGCTCCGGAGGAAAGTCGGCGCGGCGCCGCAGCGCCGCGTGCCTTGCGAGGTGCCACCACCTCCAGGGGGCATTTTTCCAGCACCACCACCTGACAATTGAGGCATCTTTCTTCCCAAAAGATCTGCAGAGAATTTGCAAAGCTGGAGGGTGAGGCCCGGTGAGGCTGCCGGCCTCCTAGCCATGCCCCCGATGCAAATAACATCAAACCAGTACCCTATTGGATCCGAATCATGAGGTCTGGGAACCTCAATGTGTGGCATTGGCTCTGGTCAAAGGCCCCAAACATGTGCACTCACAGAACTAATGAATTGGAGGACCGCGTCCTGCTCCCTACAGGACGTGATTACAGGCATCAAAAGCTTGGAGAACATCAATGTAGGGCTTCCCCCTCAATTTCAGGCACCGCCCCGCGGCAACATAGCAGTACATCGAGGAGAAATCTGGAGTGGAGGATATCCCATGACTCCAACCTTACCTAATAGCGATGGCCTCCACTAGCGATGGCCTCCAACCCTACATGTTTAAAATCAATCGACAACGACATGGATCAGACCTTTTGGGCAATCCTTTTGGACTCCACGGTACCCCTGGGCGCCCCAGGCAACCCGCCGGGCATTCATTCGCTCCTGGCGACGGTGTGTCTATGTGTGTCGACTGTTATGTTCTTGATGAAGAGAATACTGCAGCTTGTGTGTAGTACTTATGCTATCTAATCTATTGTTTATACAAGCAAAAAATACGTATTATGTATATATATATATATTACAGTATTGACATTGTACATATATATATATATAACTTCCACTAATGGGCAGCCGCCTACGACAAGATTATTGAGGTATTTTAAACTATAGATCCATTCGGTTCTGGGGAGGGCGTTGTTCGTCTCCTCTAAGGTCCGCGGAAGGAGCTTGTCGGCCGCTGAAGGGCCTTCAATCTTTTCCTCGGTGCGTGGAGCAACCAATGAGGCGAGCATCCTGATCATCTGGGACCCTGGAAGGGGAAGGCCAAACGTCCAGGAATCCGCTGGTGCATAAGTGGATTTGTTAACCCTACAAATTCACGTCTATCGCAGCAATTCGTTCCTTGGCAACGGTACCTTCCCACTTCTAAAATCGGTGATCCTCCGCCTCCGATCACTCTGGGATCCTAATCGAGCTGCAAACCAGTTCGGAAAAACACGGAAAGCGGAGCAGCTGCATTTTATTGCTGGGTAGTCGGACCTCTTTTTTTCATGGCTTTAACGGTGTTGTACGTACACTACGCAGAAGACCACCTGCCCAAGTCGAACGGCAGAGAAAACAAGTATATAACCTTACACTTGTCGGACCTAAGTCTGTCGGGTTTTTACGATGTTATACGCACATGACACAAAAAGACTACCTGCCCAAGTCAAACGGCAGAGAAAAACAGCCAAGTGGACGAACATCGCCGCAAAAAAGTAAAATAACAGCAGCAAAGCCTTCAACATAGATCCCACAGCCCCAATCACTTCCAACATACCTCCACGAGAAGCCCCAACAGAGCCCCAACATTGGGCGAAACGTGCCAACATGGAGAAGGATATGCCCTAAGAATGCACCAAGATCGCCGAAGATTGGTGCAAACATGCCCCAAATTTGACTGCCCATTGGAGCAAGCTTTCGTAAGCAACAAAAACGACAAAACTGTCAAAGCCACCTTTCTTACACTTGTCGGACCTCATTTTCATGGATTTATGGCGTTTTACGCACAGTACGCAAAAAACCACCTGCCAAGTCAAACAGGGCAGAGAAAAAGCAACCAAGTGGACCAACATGGCCGCAAAACATAACAGCAGCAAAGCCTTCAACATAGCCCTGATCTAGACCCCACGGCCCCAATCACTTCCAGCATACCTCCACGAGAAGCCTCAAGAGAGCCCCAACATTGGGTGAAATGTGCCAATATGGAAAAGGGTATGTCCCAAGAATGCACCAAGATCGCCGAAGATTGGCACAAACATGCCTCAAATTTGACCACCCACTGGAGCAAGCCCGCATAAGCAACAAAAACGACCAAAAATTGTCAAAACCAACTTTCTTACACTTGTCGGACTTCATTTTGCATGGTACATACTTTTCTATAGTGCTTTACACACACTACGCAAAAGACCACCTGCCCAAGTCAAACCGCAGAGAAAAAGCAGCCAAGTGGACCAACATGGCCGCAAAACAAGTAGCATAACAGCAGCAAAGCCTTCAACATAGCCCTGATCTAGACCCCGCAGCCCCACTCACTTCCAACATACCTCCACGAGACGCCTCAAGAGAGCCCCAACATTGGGCGAAACAATAACATAACAGCAAAGCCTTCGACATAGCCCTGATCTAGACCCCACGGCCCCAATCACTTCCAACATACCTCCACGAGAAGCCTCAAGAGAGCCCC